GATGCTATCGTAGTTTTATCCTTCTTTAAATCCATACAGCAATTACAATCTCCTCCAAATATTACATTTTGTTGATGGTAATTCTCTATTTGCTCTAACACTTTTTCATAAAATTCTTGCTGTTTCACATTTGGTGCGTATACATTTACTAATACATATTTTTCCTCCCCTATTTCCCCATATATTATTATATATCTTCCCTCTTCATCCTTCAATACCTTGTTTATGACAAAATTACATTTCTTTGCTATTATTATTGCTACTCCTCTTGACTTTGATGTCCCAAAAGATGTTTCGTAGTTCCTTATCCAGCTCGACTTTAACTCATTTGAGCCCCGCTTATTTTGATGTGTTTCCTGTAGGAAGATGGCGTCCGCCGCGTCCTTCTTCAGTAGNTTGGAAGGGACCTTCTGCAGCTGCATGAACTAGTAAACTGCTTTCTTTTGGATGAAACACGTTGTCCGTCTTTTTGATCCTGCCTGCGCTCGCCCACTAGAAGCCAAGCCAAGCCCTTGGCTGGGAGCCCAATTGGGATAAGAGGTCTGCTACAACAGTAGCTGCAGAGCCAGTGGCTGGCCTTGGGAAACTCTCTCAGCCTCAGGGGAAAGCAGAGAGAAACCCTCTCTGAATAAATCCTGCAAAGAAAATAGGTTTGTCATAGAGTTGTCATTAGTTGGAAATGACATGAAGACATAGAATAACAGCAACTACTGCTCACCACATTTATGCACACAGCAAAAAACAACAACAAAAACTTGGGCCCCAGCTATCAAAATTAAGTTGAGTTGCAGCAAATCTGCAAAGAGCTGATTGGCAATGGAAGATAATAGCCAAGTAGGCCTTTGACCATGAGATTAGAGAGTTCAACAGCAGTGGAAGAAGGACAGAGAAAGCAGAGCCTCTTTGTGTATGCAATATGCATGCATTGTAGCCTATAAAGAAATATGTTGTTGTGCTTCCCTGCAAGTGATTTCTTTATTCAGCAATCAATAGGGATAACAACATGGGCTATTACACTACGTAGATTTTAAAATTAAAATGTAATAATAATAATAAATCAAAGTATGGAGTAATTAACACAGGTTTAGCATCCCTTATGCAAAATGACTGGTACCAGAAGTATCTTGAATTTCATTTTTGTTTTGTTTTTTTTGGTATATTGGAATACATGCCTTTGACTATAGAGCACAGTTCCTGAATTAAAAACATATGACTTACAAACAACTTATAGTTAAGAACAGGGGTGAGACAACAGGAAGTGAGAGAAATCTATACCTTGGAATGGGAAAATCAATCCTGAAAGAGTTATCATGGAAAAAAGATGTCTCCACTGAAGCTTTAGCACCAAGCCTTGTCTCCAAAACCAGCCAATTTTTTCAAAATCCAATTGTCACAGGGACAGAAAGTGAGGTGAAGTGTTTTGAACAGGGGCACAGACATCAAAACAAACATCACAGGGGTGTTAACCCTTAACTATGAGTAGTTTGTAAATCAGATGTTTGTAACTTGAGAACTGCCTGTATATGAATTTCAAACAGGCAAATTTTACGCTCATTCATATCCAGTCATTCCTATAGTGACTTTATCCTTCTTCTCCTCTTTATTGTCACAACGACTCTATGAACTTAGCAGATTTTATGACTTAATTTGGACAGGGTTTTCCATATCCCCGCTCTTTAATCACTTCACTACACTGTCATTAACACTAAAAGCATAGTTTAATTATATTTGAATTTTTGTCCGCTTTCAGTGAAGTTGGGTTTTTACATACATATGTTATCATTCATTGGCCCCTACACTGGCAGTCTTCAGAAAGAACTTGAAGACCTGGCTGTTCCGATGTGCCTTCTCAGATTAGGAACCTCCAATACCTAGTCCTAGAAGCACTTTAGTAGAACTAAGATTACTGCACACCGCACACTGCACTTACTTTATAATCCTATATACCTCCTGCCACATCAGCACTTTTAATCTTGTACCCATTACTCTGGCCCGGCCCAGTTTTATAGTGTCTTGGTGTATTGTTTATTGTTTGTTGTTTATTCTGCTTAACTGTTTTTAATTTGCTTTAGGTATTGTATTGTTGTATTGTATTTTGAGGCCTTGGCCTGTGTAAGCCACATCGAGTCCTTCGGGAGATGCTAGCGGGGTACAAATAAAGTAATAATAATAATAATAATAATAATAATAATAATAATAATAATAATAATAGAAATGGAGATGAGCACCACCCCTGGACATGACTAACTTAATGTCAGGTGAAACCTTTACCTTTAGGAGGGCTGAATTAGAACAATAAGCATATTTTCAGGATTTTTTTCAGATTTTGAAATTTGAAAGTGAGGATAATTTGTAAGTGAAACACTTACATTGCTAAGTAATAGGGTAGTGAGATGGAGGATAGGGTTAAATATAGAGAGAATTTTATATGGGTGATAAAAGGTTAAATTATTCTTCTATGAGATTAGTCTTATAATTTGCTAGTTTAGAAATATATTATGATATAGATGGAGTCCCCGGTGACACAATGGGTTCAACTCTTAACCCATTTGGCTAAACTCCGGGAAGCGGGGTGAGCTCCTGTCTGTCAGCTCCAACTTCTCATGTGGGGACATGAGAGAATCCTCCTACAGGATGGTAAAACATCCAGGTGTCCCTTGGACAACGTCCTTGCAGACAATCAATTCTATCACATCAGAAGCGACTTGCAGTTACTGAAGTCACTCCTGACACGAAAAAAATGATACAGATGAGAATGTAATGTAGCAGATGAGTTTTGATATGTTGTGCAAGTAGAAATGAAATTGTTAATAGCATAATGTGATCTTGTTGAGTGCTTTTGGGAAATGTGGAGCGATTATGAAGAAATGGGTGAGGGTACTAATTAAGCCATCGATGTAGACAAGGCTTTTCTATATGATTGAAGTTAAAAAAATACAACTATAAAAGCTTGAGCAAGATTTACACATTTATTTTTTAAAAAACTCATAGAAATAACAGAATCTACATTCACAAATAAAATATATTACTTGTTTATTTTCTGTGTATATTGAAGAAATAAAAATAATACAATTTTGTCACTAGAGCTAGTTTGGCAATACCTTGCACAATACAGTTAATTAAGATATATTCTTTGAATTGATATCACAGTATTTTATGAGAAGGCTTATATTCACATTAAGGCAATATAAATAGATTATATATTTATACAAAAAAATCCAAAACATTACCACTCAACACATACTAAACCATAAACAATCACCTCAGTTTGTACTACAACGCATACATACATTCCATTAAATTACAGAAAATGTACATACAGATGTAATCATTTGTTTCAATGAGGCTTTCCATTGAGTATAACAAGCAGCATTACTTGGGTCAATTATATTCATAGGTCATTGCCAAGAAGGCAGTTTTAAGGCTCATGACAACCCAAAAAAACTTTTGAATATAAGCTTCTGAGGACAGGAAAGGATACAAACATTTCCTTCTTGGTAAAGTGCACCTTCATTTTGAGAACAATGTAGAACATAGATAGTTTGAAAAGTCCTGATCAGAAACCTCTTGTGGTTTTACACTAGTGTAACCATAAGTGTAACTGGAGGTCATTCGTTTTTCCAGTGTTATATAAAGAGGTATCCAGTATCTTATTATACAATGGACCATACACAATATCTTGTGGATGGTCCAACACAAAAACTATTTATCAGCATTAGGATGTTAATGAAGCTCTCTTACTCCACCAAATAAGCTGATACATTTGCATCCCAGACCTCTAAATAAATAGTCAGTGGGTTTGCAAAGTTTTATACTCCTCCTGGTTCGTGTAGGAGGACAATACTTGCACTGGAGCAGTCTAATGTTGTTACATTTGACTAAATCAGGGGTGGAAATCAACCAGCCCTCCAGATATTGCTAGACTGTGATATCCTAGCCAGCAAGCCTGGAGTTGCAATCCAACATCACCTGGAAAGTTACATGATCCCTTCCTCTGGATTAAAAATGGATTTTTAAAAAATGTTAGATGTTGATTGATGTGTAGAAGATAGCTTGGTTCCTGTCCTTCCCTCCTTCAGCCATATTAAGTAGAAGGAGCTGTATGGGTTGCTTGTGACTTCATGCTCAGAGCTTGCATAACTTGCCTTTTTTAGGATACACTTCCCAGAATCCCCTAGATAGCATTGTTTTTCCTAAGCTCAGCATGTCTCTCACTCTGGCTTTCATTGGAACAAAGCCCTCTGATTCTTGGTGATGATCCAACTTATTAACTTTGAGCAATTTTTCAAATAACCATTAATTCTCAAGCTATTATTAATATCGTATGGAATCCACATGGAACCAAGCAATGAGATATGAAGCTCTTACTCCACCAAAGCTAGCTCAGTAAAGATGTTTAGAAGGAGGGTGTCAGGCTATGAACAAAGAACTTTTTAAATGAATGCTAAGAAAATAATTTAAAATACAAACCCTCAAAACAACTTGAACAGTGTCACAATTTGAATAAATACAACATTGAATAGCACCATATGTTAAAGAATTGGGGGGGGGGGGGGGAATTAAGTGCTGATAGATGCAACTCCTTCTAGTGCAGTGGTTCTCAACCTGAAGGTCAAAGTCTTCAGCTTCCAGAAATCCTAACAGCTAGTAAACTGTTAAACTGCTGAGGTGCTGAACTTGCAGATCGAAAGGTTGGCGGTTCAAATCTCGGGAGCAGGGTGAGCTCCCGCTATTAGCCCCAACTTCTGACAACCTAGCAGTTTGAAAACATGCAAATGTGTGTGGATCAATAGGTGCTGGCCACATGACCTTGGGGGTGTCTATGGACAATGCCAGCTCTTCGGCTTAGAAATGGAGTTGAGCACCAACCTCCAGAGTCAGACATGACTAGACTTAATGTCAGAGGAAAACCTGGGAGTTGTAGGCCAAAACACCTTAGCACCCACAGGTTGAGAACCACTGTTCTAGTGCTAAAATTACATAGAAGTAAACTTGCTATGTACAGACTCAAGGGTGCTGCAGACTGCAGTCTTCTTTATTAATAAAACATACATTTATCTTTAATGATTCACAGTAATGTTCCACTCACATGGCAGATTATATTCAAGTTGTTTACAGCATCTTATAATTACTGCAAGAGGGGGAAGGAATGGTGTGGCGAGTGAATGAATTCAGTGAGTGAATAAAGGATGTAATCTCCATCTACATTGCTCTCAGTTTTTCAGACCAACCATGCAAAAAGTGTGTTTATTGCATCCAAAAAAACTCTGGTTACTGATTTCACCTAATCTGATTCAATTCTGAGACCATTGAATCCTGCTTTTCATTGTTTTGCTTCCTTGGTTCCTGTTCTAAAGCTGAACATCTCAATGAACTCAAGGTGGTCTGTCCCTCTCCCCATTCATCCTGATTTCAAGGAAATAGAGATATGTTTTGTTTTTTTTTAAAGTAGGATCAGTTACTTGTCTTCTTTCATTCTGTCATACCAATAAAGCACCTCAAGCCCAGCAAAATCATACATTACTAAAAGGCTTACAATTTGCATGCCAGTTCAGTAAATTAGCCCGAAGCACGCTTGGCCACAAAATATTTACGCTTGAGAGAAATTGACATGTTTTCCAAGGAAACATTTTCCAAAATTGCACTGAGTATATTTGTGTTGCATAGTGGTTTGAGTGTTGGACTCTGAGTCTGGAGACCAGGGTTCGATTCCCTGCTCTGTCGTAAAAACCCACTGGGTAAACCTGAGCAAGCCAAGCCACAGAAAACCCCATGATAGCCTCATCTTAAGTAGCCACAGGTTGGAAGCAATATGAAGGCACATGACAACAAACATAACTTGAAGTGCTTACATCCAAAGAACTTGCTGTTTTAGTAGAAAACACAGCTATTCTTGGAGGATGGGCTGCCCACTCACTTTTTTTAATAAGGTGAGACTATTAAGTTAATAGGGAAGAAAGTCGTTACTTGCCCTATGTGAGTGGAAGGACCTCCTTCTCTGGAGGATTTTAAGCAGAGGCCAGATGGACATCTGTCAGGAGGGTTTTGATTGTGTTCCTGCATTGCAGGGAGTTGGACTGAGTGACCCTTGGGGTCTCTTCCAACTCTACCAATCTATGACTTTCTACATGGCTCTTTCAATACAAGCAAATATCGCTCACTTCAGTTGCAGTCTTTGTGCATGTGCCTCAGTTTGGCACCAAGCTGTCAAATGTTTCCCGCAGAACCATGGCAAATACTTGCCATCAGTTATGAACCTGTTAGCCAAGGGAAGCTTTGACCCAGAAAGGCATCTTAGAAAAGAAACATTACAAAACATGCACTGAATGATCTAAAATCTTGTATTGTTTGGTTTAGGTTTGGGAGTGCTTTCTTCTTTGTAATCGTCTTTTGTGCAACTGTTCTTTTTGACCACATCTTCGGCCCACGTGGGTTCTTTGGGAATTTCCCACATGTCCTTCTTATGGAAAGATTTCTGCAGAGTTGGAGATAGGCCTCCTTTCCCATTGTAGCCATTCACCTGAGCAAGGAAGGTTTCCTGCTGGCTACAACACAAGTGAGGGTCGCAAGCTTTGGAGATACACGGGGAGCTGCAGAGGATCTCTGGACTCTTGAAGTCAAGATACTCTGGCTGGATGGTGACGGAATGGACCCCTGCTTCATGGAAGACCTCCCTCATTTTGGACGAAGCCTCTTCATAATCAGACCGAGAGTCACACTTGAGGTGGAGGGTAGCAATGTTCTTCCCTTTGACAAGCTCCCAAACATGCACCTCATGAATGCTGCTCACCCCAGGCACTTCCAGTAGTTTGTTTGCTGAGGAAGACAAAGCAATAAAAAAGGAAATAAATTTTGCAAAGATTTCAGTAAGCTTCAACACTCATTTTAATAGCAGCTCAGAAAAATGTAGAAATAACACTTAACACAGGAGAATTAAGCACTTGATGCATAACCAGAGCTTGGAAAAAATATGTGCCTTAAAAAAACTATAATTCACAGAAATTTCCAGCCAGCTTAACTGCTGATTGTATTGACTACCAGAATCCTGGGACTTATAGTCCCAAAAAGTAAAAATTTGAATGAGATTGGGAACTTGTTTGCCTTTTATATGTATGTGAACTGGCCTGAGTCCCTCTGGGGAGAGTGGGCAATCCAGAAATAAAGTATTATTATTATTTGATACACTGCAAAATTAGTACACAGCAAACAAGATCACTTTGCTGGCTTTTGTATTTGATCACATGTCGGAAACTTCCCAACTGTCTAGGACTGTGTGATGTATCGCCAAATAATGCGTGCAGATCCAAGTAAAGTGGCCTTTTGCAGCTGACAGATGGTAATTTTGTCAGTGCCTATTGTTTTTAAGTGCAGGCCAAGGTCTTTATATTATTATTAATAATAATAATAATAATAATAATAATAATAATAATAATAATAATAATAATATATTACTTGATCATTCTACTTAAATATGCCTGCCTGAGAATTCGAGTCTTTTTAAGGGGACCCTGTATGAGGACATGACAAAGGGCCTTCTCTGTAGTGGCACCCCATTTGTGGAACTTTCAGGCTTAACTGATTTAGTATGCACATGTAGTGTGAATTGCCCCAATGTGAAATTGTATTAATGGGCTTTAACTTGCCTAGTTTTTAATATATTTATTAAATATATTAAAAACCAGGCAAATTAAATATATTTTAATCTTTAAAAATAATAAATTCCATGGTTTTGCATTCATGTGGCATTGGTATGGAGGAATGGGTGTTGTTTTGCGATTTGTGCTGGAGATAGCATTTAATTTCACTGTGCAATGTAGGTAAATGGTAAAGCTTTTCCCCTGACATTAAGTCCAGTCATGTTCAAGTCTGGAGATTGATGCTCATCTCCATTTCTAAGTCGAAGAGCCAGCATTGTCAGTAGACACCTCCAAGGTCATATGGCCAGCATGAGTGCATAGAGCGCCATTACCTTCCTGCTGGAGCAGATCTATTCACATCTGCATGTTTTTGAACTGCTAGATTGACAGAAGCTGGGGCTAACAACATGAGCTCACCTCGCTCCCCGGATTTGAACCAGCAACCTTTCGGTCAGCAAGTTCAGCAGCTCAGCAGTTTAACCCACTGCGCCACCGGGGGTTCCAATGTACAATGTACAGTGACAATAAACTTATTCTATTCTACTATTGTTTACTATTTTAAATTGTTTGTTGTTATTAATTTTGCATTAAAAGTTTGCTGGAACACAATGAATTGCTCTTTTTTTCATGGTTCTGGAACCTAACCCTATTCTTTCCATGCTTTATCATTTATTTATGAGCACAATGATTTCAGGAAAAAGCAGGGCTGCTGCAGCACTGCCATGTTCTCAAAGCACATGCTTTTGCTAATCCATCAAGATTTGAGTCAAGTTGCTAAGACACACCACCATGTGACTCAGAATCTCCAAGCGCTTGAGAATGTAGAGCTGATGGTGTGAGCGTATAATCCAGAAATATCAAGCCAGCAAAAACCCTCAACCATTTAAGTTCCTCAACGAAAAGAATGTAGCTTACTCAGGATTTGCATATTAACAGCCTTGGGAACCATCTGTAGCAAAATAGTTGCCGTCTCTTTGATAAGCGGGACAGCTGAAGACAATATGATGAACACCATAAGGATGGTCAGGCTTGGATCAATGTAGCACTGCCAGTTGCAAGGGGCGTTCTCCTCCAGAGGGAGCGCATAGAAGATTGAAGCGGCAATGACAACAATAACTGAACCAAGTGCATCTCCCATCACATGCAGAAGGACACCTGAAACAAAAGATAAGGGAAACTTTAGCATCTAATCATGGCACAAGGAAGTTGCACACAAGGTTAAACATAATCCAATTTTACTCTGGAAACCACGGTTGTCATCCCTATAGTAAACTCTAATCTGGACAAACAAGAGTCAAACTATTAAAAGAGCACACTACCGCAGAACTGTTAATGTACTTAAATGAAGCACATACGGGAAGACTAATTTGATACAATATATGAAGTTTGAAAACTAAAGAATAAATGAACAAAAGCCCAGTGATGTGTAAAATGAATCAGCAGCAATAAAAGTAAGAATGGACATTTTATATACTATGAGCCTTCCAAATCCATGGATTCTACATCCACAAATTCACCCACATATGACTTAAGCGTAAGAAACAGAATTTTCCCACACCAATGTATATAATAAAGCGTGTATATAATTTTGATATCTACAGTGAGGTCCTGGAACCAAACTCCAGTGGATGCCAAGAGCCCACTGTATACCACGTATGAAGAACACAATTATTCATTTTGCTACATGTGCACATATTGGGAAACTGGTCTCTTGTGCTTTTGCTGTGCATGTGTACATTCAGCAAAGCGTGCATTTTGTGCATATTTTCACACATGCTCACCAATTCTGTGCCTAAAGTCTTAACAAAGCATGCCTAAGCCAGGCATTCTGAAAAGCTGCACAACTATGATGAAAGCAGGATAATCTAGTATCACAGAGCAGAAGCCAAAGCTATGGGAATTCTCCAGGTGTCATACATAAATGCCTAGTGCTTCTCATACTCTACTCTTTCAGAAGGTCAGCCTGGCTGCACGTGAGCACCCTTCCTTTGATTTGGACAGCAGTTGGGTTGGCACTACCATTAGGCAAAGTGAACCAACTATCTCAGATAGCAAATTAAAAAATTATGCAAAGAGGGACTTGGGCAAAGAGCTTTTGAAATGTTATTTGTTAATGTTTATATTATGTTATTTTAATTGTATTAAGTGATCATTGTTTATTGTTGTCGATTGTCTATTGCTTATATTATTTTCTGTATCTGTTGATTGCTGTAAGCCGCCCTGAGTCCCTTTGGGGAGAAGGGACAGGGTATAAATAATAATTATAATTATTATTTGAAGCACAACAAGGTGAGTGCACAGCAGACAAGATCACTCTGCTGGCTGTTGTATTGAGTCCCACATTGGACACTTCCCAAGTGTCTAGGATCGTGTGATGTATCGGTGAATAATGCATGCAGATCCCAGTACGGTGGCCTTCTGCAGCTGGCAGGTGGTAATTTTGTCAGTGCCAATTGTGTTTAAGTGCAGGCCAAGGTCTTTAGGCACTGCACCCAGTGTGCCGATCACCACTGGGACCACCTTTACTGGTGGTATTATTATTATTATTATTATTGACACAAAAGCACAGTATGTCACAGCAAACGAGATCTCTATGCTGGATTTCGTATCACAAAATCACAAGTCGAACACTTTATTATTATTATTATTATTATTATTATTATTATTATTATTATTAATTTCTTGTGGGTTTTTTCGGGCTATATGGCCATGTTCTAGAGGCATTTATATGGCCATGTTCTAGAGGAATGCCTCTAGAACATGGCCATATAACCCGAAAAAACCCACAAGAACTTAGTGATTCCAGCCATGAAAGCCTTCGACAATACATTATTATTATTACTGAGGAGTCATGTTTACCTACATGAACAAGCAAATGTGAACCCAAAAACCTACTGTATTTGCATGATTTCCCAGTGCCATGATCTTCACAATCTTAGAAACTCTTTGGAAGCGTAAGGGTTTTTGGAGGCTAGCATCTTCAGATGTAGCTACAATGATAGAACTCTGTTGTGGATATGTTGCCTACACTTGGGAACTGTGAAAACTGGCCATGGCAGGGAAGGAGAGAGCATTTCTTGCAGTATCCTGCTGTCTGAAGCACAGCATATCATGGTTTCTAAAATGCAGTTTTCCCCATATAAACATCTCAAAAAACAGGATGTATCTTAGAATTACTTGTGTATGTGAATAAAGCTTTTTTCTGCTGCTGCTGGTGGTGGTGATGATGATAGTGGTCATTGGTACACTGGGTGCCATGCCAAAAAATCTCAGCCGGCATTTGAAAACAATAAACATTGACAAAATCATGATCTTTCAACTGCAAAAGGCCACCTTACTTGGATCTGCATGCATCATTCGAAAATACATCACACAGTCCTAGACGCTTGAGAAGTTTTTGACTTGTGATTTTGTGATAAGAAATCCAGCATATAGATCTCATTTGCTGTGGCATACTGTGTTTTTGTGTCAGAATAATAATAATAATAATAATAACAATCTTTATTTGTATTCCACCCTATCTCCCCAAGGGGATTCAGAGTGGATTTCAGGTATTGAAATTAGAATCTATAGCATCTTAAAATCGATGAAATATGATATCTTGGGACCACCTTTTCAGTGGGTTAACAATTTGTTGAACAACCTTTGAATCTGGTCTAAAACTAAATAAAGAAAAGATGAGACAAAACAGGTGATCTCTGAAGATGGTCCAGTACCTCTGATGTTCAGGGCTTCAGACTTTTTCTCTTTTTTCTGTACTTCCTCCGCCTGAGACGATTTCTCGATACTGATGGAGTCACCTGCATTCAAAGAAGAAACGCTGTGTTGTGTATAAGTTCTACAAACAGAAAAAAACCAATCTTTTCAAAACCATCTTAAATTCTTAAAGAGTTTATAATTCTCCAACACTTGCATACACTCCCTTCCCCCCCCCTATCTATCTATCTATATAAACATGCATATATATATAGAATGTATACTATATAGTACAATTTACTATGGGCATAATTGCATGGAGTTTTTTTAAGGATAACTCATGAATAGACACGTGCCGACATAAACATTATGTAATTTCTTTATTTCTACTTTGTTCCACAATGTTCCCCACACCTTTTTCCAATCTTAATGGTCATTTAATGTATGAGCCTATGAATACTGTGGAAACAAGGCTACAGGGGAAAAATGCAATGGGTGGTATATCAAGCATGGCCCTCCAGGTGTTTTGGACTTCAACTCCCACAATTCCTTAAGTGACTAAGAGGGAAAAGGAAGGGGTCTGCGGCTGTTAGGAATTGTGGGAGTTGAAGTCCAAAATACCTGGCAGGCCAAAGTTTGCCCATGTCTGTGGTATATCATTTGCACAAGTTAACAAAAGTGAAAATACAACATCAGGGCAAATAAAGAGAAAGTAAACATGAATGACAGGCACAAGAAAATAGATGAGAAAGAATATGTGTTGAAAAAGAGGGAGAGAGCTACAAAATACGCAAAAGTAGGCTGAATTAAGTTCAGGTTTAGACTCCAAGACATTCCACTGTGTCTATGCAAAAATTCCTAAATCTGAAGAAAGCCACAATTTCAAACACTTCTCAACCATAGAAACCCGCTGGGTGACCTTGAGCAAGTCATACTTTCTCAGCTTCAAATAAAGGTATGTGCAACCCTCACCACTACCCCCACCCTGCTCCAAACAAACCTTGCCCACCCCCCAAAAAAGTTCTCCTTAGGGTTACTGTAACTCATAATCAACTTGAAAGTACACAACTGTGAATGATAGAGGGATAAGCGAAAGGATGAGAGAAAAGGAGAAAGTCATAAATGGGAAGGGAAGGAAGGCAATGAAGAGAAATGTAGGAAGAACATTAGAGAAATAAGAAAGCAGGAGGGGAAAGAGGATGAAGAGAATGGAGGAGGATAAGAGTGAAGGAAACAGAGAAAGAAGGACCAGGGGAGGAATAAAGGATAAAAATAAAATAAGAAAGCAGAATAAAAATTAAAACAAAACAAAATAAAATAAGGAAGAGAGGACGGGATAATGGATGAGAACAGTGAAGGAATAAGAGGAGAGAGGGACAGGAGATAATACAATAGAAATGTTCAAAAAATAGGAAGAAGGATTAAAAGACAAAATAACAGGAAGAAGGAGGAGGAAGAGAGGATGAGGGGATGGAAGAGGAAAACAGTGAAAGGAAAAAAGGAAAGGAAGAGCCATGAAGCATCAATAAACCAAGTAGCTGGAGGAGAGGATGGTTGGATGGAATCCCTCTTTGAAGGTGAGAGGGTCGGTATATAAAACCTCGAAATAAATAAATAAATAAATAAAATGGATGGAAGAAGAGAATAGTGAAAGGAAAAGAGGACAGAAGCACTAAGGAAGAATGAAAAAGAGGAAGCTGGTGAAAGAGAGGATGAGAGATGGAAAGGAGGGCAGAGAATGGACACAGTGATGGGAGGGAGGAATAAGGAAGGAATGAGGGAGGGATGAAAGGAGGGAAGGAGGAAGGAAGGAAGGAAAGGAAGAGAGGAGGGGGAGGAAGGAAGAAGGAGGAGGGAAGGAAGGAAGGAAGGATGGAAGGAAGGAAAGAAGGGGGAAGGAAGGAAGGAGGAGGAAAGGAAGGAAAGAAAAGGAGGAGGGGGAAGGAAAGGAGAAGGAAGGAAGGGAAAGGAAGGAGGGAGGGAGGGGAGGGAGGAAGAAGAGAGGAAGGAGGGAGAGGGAGGGAGGAAGAGAGGAAGGAAGGAAGGAAGGAAGGAAGGAAGGAAGGAAGGAAGGAGGGAGAGAAGGAGGAAGGAGGAAGGAAGGAAGGAAAGAAGGGAGGGAGGGAGGGAGGAAAGAAGGAGGGAGGGAGATAAAGAAGAAGAGAGGGGAAGAGGGGAGGGAGGGAGGAAGGAAGGAGGAAAGGAAGGATGAAAGGGAAGAAGGGAGGATGGAAGGGAGGATGGAAGGGAGGGGGGGGGGAGTGCGGCCCCGAGAGGCACCTGCTTGGCTTTCTCCCTGCGCCCCGTCTTCTTCCCCCGCTTGCTCCACCCGCGCGCCTTCCGCGGGGGCCATTTCGATGTCAAGGCCGGAGGGGGGCTGGGTGTCGGGGGCGGCGGGGTCGCTGTCCCGGGTCGGGCTTGGGCGTCGGGGGCGGGGGCAGCAGCAGGCCCAGTCCTGGAAGACGAGGAGCCCGAGGAGGTTGACGGCGAGTCCGAGGGCGCCGACGAGGAGGACGAGGAAGGCGTCGCGGATGCCCTGGGGCTGGGCGAGGCGCTGGAGGGCCTCCACCAGGATGGTGAAGTAGAGGGCGGCGAGGAAGACGGCGTTGCTGAGCGCGCCCACCACCTCGGCGCGGCCCGATCCGAAGGAGGCGGCCGGCGAGCGGGGCCCTTGGCGGCGGGAGAGGCGCCCCGTGGCCAGGCCCACGCACAGCGCCACCAGGTCCGAGAGCATGCTGAACGAGTCCGAGATCAGCGCGATGGAGTTGCCCACGTAGCCCGAGACCAGCTCGGCCACGAAGAAGCCCGCCGTCAGCACCAGCATGAAGGACAGCCGGCACGTCTGCCCCGTGTAGCGCCCCATCGCCAAGAGGAAGAGGAGGAGGAGAGGGAGCCTTCCAACGCACGCCTTGGGGCTAATGCTGGCCCAGCGACGCCTTCCCCTCGCCCTCTGGGCGGACTCGGCGCCTTTGGACCCGCGGGCAAAGTCTGAGCTGGAGAAGAAGCCGGAGGCGCCAAGCCCTCGCCAACCGAGTGGCCTCCTTCCCGCCTCCGCCCCTGGCTTTATAGGCTTCGCCTTCTTCACAGCGACCCCTCCCCTTGGCAACAAAAAAAAAGCAAGGCCCCAGGAGCCAAGGCGTGGAGCCAAAGACCCGCCCAAGCCCTTTGCCTGGAGACGCAGGGTGCCTCCCAAATGGAGAAAATGGTCCATGAGCTACTTCTCCTCCCCTTCAGCCAGCTAGACCAGGCCTGGGCAAACTTGGGCCCGCCCACCAAGTAATTTTGGACTCCCACCATTCCTAACAGCCTCAGGCCCCTTCCTTTCCCCCCCTCAGCTGTCTGAGCTAGACTCAACAACCCTTGTGGTTTCTTCCAGCTCTTCTTTTTTTTTCTGTGGCTGCTCTTCCATGACACCAAGGTTGGATTAACTCTTAAGACAAATAAAATCAGGTTTAGGGAACCACAGAAATCTCCCATTGCCAAGTTGAACATGGACCCTATGGTACAAAGCTGGGTCCAGAGGTTGGCATAGCCTAACCCTATGGCCTCTGGGTCCAAAGGGTGGCACATCCCAAATCGCTTTGCCTCCTGAGGCAAAATCACTGGTGGAGTCCTGGTCTTAAGAGGGTGGATGCTATGTGGTCCATGAACCACTCTTCCTTGGCAAACCAATGGTGAGAAATGACCCCACTAAGAATTTGCAGCCCTTTCATTCCTTACCAAGGCACATCTACACTGAACATGTAAGGCAGTGTGAAATGAGCAAACAGGGAAGTGATTTGACAGTGGAACTAGACAGGAGTTTACCCTATACCATGCAGCTGTAGACTAGTCTACATAGGGACCACCAAACGCAGCACCCAAACACAGATCAAGGAACATGAAAGGCACTGCAGACTACTCCAACCAGAGAAGTCAGCCATAGCAGAGCACCTGATGAACCAACCTGGACACAGCATATTATTTGAGAACACAGAAATGCTGGACCACTCTAACAACCACCATGTCAGACTACACAGAGAAGCCATTGAAATCTCCTCGTCGGACAATTTCAACAGAAAGGCAGAAACCATGAACATGAACAAAATCTGGCTACCAGTATTTAAAAAAACTCTAAAATCAACAATAGGAGAAATCCTGACATTAAAGTATCAGGGCCAGCTAACACCTCCCAACAAAGGATTCCCCAGGCAGGAATCAGCCAGTTTTTGAAGCTGCAAGGCCATTCAGTGCTAATCAAGGTGACCAGTTACAACATTCACACTTGCTTCAAGCAGACAAGAGTTCTTTCTCCCACCCTGGATATTATTCCACAGATATATAAACTCCACTTGCCTAGTTTCCAGCAGACCTCACAAACTCTGAGTATGCCTGCCATAGATGTGGGCAAAACATCAGGAGATAATGCTTCTGGAACATGGCCATACAGCCTGGAAAACTCACAGCAACCCATCTTTTCAAATAATTCCAAACCCATCATAAGAATTTAAATAAAGGCATTTTAATGTATTCTTCCCTCAAATCTTCCACCCTATGCCCATTTACCTTGGGATACAAGCTCTTTCTGTGTGGCTTGCTTCCTAGCAAACTTTAATTGCATTTTAAAGATTCACACTGGTATCCTATATATATATTTAATATGACTCTCCATAACCAGGGATTCTGCATTCACAAATTCCACCATCCTTAGCTTTAAAATATACCTCCCCCCACAAAAAATGACGCCTTACATTTGTCATTTTATATTAGAGTCTCCATTTTGCTAAGCCATTGCATATAATGGAACATGAGCTTCCATGAATTTGTGTAGTCCTGGAGGGTGCTAGAATTAAACCAAAGCTTGTACTGAGGACCTGTGTTTATAGCTAAGTAGCAGGGATGCATCAAAACAATGAACATCAGGACCAATGCTATGTGCATTAGGACTGATGCACATTGCCTCCATTATGCATCAGTCTCATTGTGAAACAGTGACTTCACCAACTGCTACATAGTTATCCAACCATGTATTGGGTATTGAAGACATTGTGCAATTTCGACAGACATAAGTCTCCTTATGAATATTCCACATCCCACCAGAATTCTGGGAATTATTTGGACACATCCGTAACAGGAACCATAAAGTAAAAGACTAAAAGATATTTTAAAATATGTAATACTACATATTTAAAATATGTAATAATACCATGCCGAGACCCCCCTTTCAGGTGCAGCTCAGGACTTTATGGCCGCCATGGCAACCATGGGCCTGTCCCAATTAATATCTGGTCCCACCCATACAGCCGGTCACACATTGGATTTGGTCTTTACTCAGGGATGAAGGTGGCAAGGTGGAGGAGCTAACCATTGCTCCATTGCCATGGAATGACCACCACCTGATCAGGTTTAGACTTATTGCACCTTCCTACCTCCCAGGGGTGGTGGACCCATTAAAATGGTCTGTCCCAGAAGACTTATGGATCCAAATGGTTTCCTGACGGCTCTTGGGGATCTTCCCACCTCCCTGGCTGGCGACTCTATTGATGCCTTGGTCTCTCACTGGAATTCTGAGATGACCAGGGCTATCGATGTAATCGCTCCGGAACGCCCCCTCTCGAGTAGCCGGGCTAACCATGCCCCTTGGTTTACTGAGGAGCTGGCAGCAATGAAGCGAAAGAAGAGGTGGCTAGAGCGCGTGTGGCGTCAGAATCCCACTAAATCAGCCC